AAGTGAGAGTGTGTATGTGTGTATGTGTGTGTGAGAGAGAGATGGAGGGAGAAGGGAACGAATTCCGCCCCTGAACTAGGAAGGGGAGGAAGGACAAGGCTCAGCTTTTCTTTTTTTAAACGACTCTCCGGCGTCCAACGAAAGCCCGGCTTACCTTCCAAAGGGAATCCGGTGCGGGGATAATTCTGTCCGGGCGCTGGGCGCATCATCCTCGGTACGGTCCCAGGCAGCGCAGCCATGCTCTGACCTTTCCCAGCATTACTGTCTTTTCCAGAGAATCCCACCTTCTCCTGATGTGCCCAAAGTAGAATGGTTTCAACAGTTTGCCACCAGAGATAGTTCAGGGTAGATTTGATCTAGGATCCACTTGTTCATATATTTGGCAGTCCAGGGTATCCACAAAGTTCTCCTCCAGCACCACATTTCAAACAAATCATTTTTTCCCTGTCCACTTTCTTTACCGTCCAGCTTTCACAGTCATATGTGGTGAACAGAAATACAATAATATGGATGGTCTTGATCACAAGTGACACATCTTTATATTTAATAACCATTCAATAGTCATTTCCTTCTCTGTCCCCTTTTCTCTTTTGGTACATTCTTAACTGTAAACTGTTGGCTCATTTGGTTTCTAATGTGGCACCCAGAGTATTGGTAGGCAGTTTGTAAACAACACAACAGCAGCAGTAGGAAGAAGCAGAAAGCTGCTAAACTGTGCAGGCCATTTTTAATTTTGTCTCTCTGCTCATTTCACCTCAACATGGTCAGCTTCATTTTTTGTAAAGGGCCCTGTACACCTAAAAGAGATGAGTTGAAAATAAGAGGGAAAAAGGAAAGAGACAAAAAGACAACTTTTTGGAGGTGATGGTGCTGAGGCTACAGAAGGCCTGGAGGGCTGCATATGGCTGCATATTGCATGCAGGAATTTCTTTGCCCACTCTGATATATGTGCATACAGTTGTGTGTCCTTGGGCAATCCATGTGGCATTCCTACTTAACATCATGGATGTTCGCAAGTCTTTGAGTCTGAGTCCCAAATCTCAAATTATTTGCCCTGCCACTCAGGGTGCAGAGAAAGCGAGCCTGGAAGCGCCGTGGGATTTTTTTTAAAAAAACTCTCTCTCTCTCTCCCCCCCCCCCCCCAGCACCTTTTAAAACCTCCTTTTTATTCATGAAGGAAGGGAGATTTAACTCTGAAGCTGGGGAACCAATGGGAAAGGGGCTCTCTTCCCCCCTTACTCCGCAGCATTGTTTATTTTTTTAAAGAAAGGATGCCTTGGTCTATTTTGGAGAGAAAAAGTAATATCCCCACCTCTC